TTCAACGAAATTGACGAGCATATCCAAACAGGACCATATGAAGTAATCAAGAAGCCCTTAGACACGGTCATGAATAAAATCAGGAAATCTACAGCTGATCTGATACGCCAAGTAAAACCATCTCTAGGTGAGTTTGAACGGTTTAATTTAATGTCTAAAAGTAATAATCCTAGCAGAATTTATGGCACTATTAAGGTTCATAAACCAGGTTATCCCATTAGACTCATAGTTGACTTCAGAAATACTCCAATATATGAACTAGCAAAGTACTTAACTTCATTATTGTGCCCTATTAGGAACCGTTCAAATTCCAGACTAGTAGACTCTTACTAGTTAAAACTTAGGCCTAATTACCTACATATAGAAGAGGATGAAAAAACGGCTAGCTTCGATATAACTAGTCCGTATGCTAAAATACCAATCACTGTGGCGCTGGAGGCAGTCAGAAGTCAACTAAATATTGACTCAGAACTTACTCACAGAACCAAGATATCGGTTGATGAGATTGCATTACGCATACAGTTATGCCTGACCTCCACTGTCTTCAAGTTTCAGAACAAAATATGCAGACAAGCAGAAGGAGTAGCAATGGGATCGCCAATATCCCCAATAGTAGCGGATATATTTATGGATAGTTGAGAAAATACGGCTTTACAAACGTTTAGTCCTACACCAAAAATATGGTGGCGATATGTGGATGACACATTTGCTTTGTTGAAATCGGAACATATCGACAATTTCCTCATGCAGATAAACTCAGTAGTAAACGCAATCCAATTCACTTACGAGGTAGAAAATGAACAAGGAGAATTACCTATGTTGAATTGTAGAATAAAACGAAGAACAGACGGTGACCTGAATACTACTGTCTACAGAAGACCAACACATTCCAGCAGGTGTCTAGACTTCAAATCATCCCATCCAATGTCAGTTAAGGCAGGGTTAGTCAAATGTCTAAATGATAGAGCTAGAAAACTGACTAGTCAGAGCAAGAACCTAAAGAAGGAATTGAAACACGTAAAAGAAGCACTAATAGTTAATAATTATCCTCCGCAGTTTATTAAGAAATTCTTGCGGACACACAAAAATCAAAAAAAGTAACACTCAGACGAGTGCGACTAATAATCACAGCCTATAAGGAGGGTACCTCAGAAACTTTACATGAAATCCTCAACAGAGCTGGAATTAGGGTGGCATTTAAACCTACAAACTCAGAGATAAACTTTGTCGGCTGGCCTAAGGATTCCATAGAACCAATTAAGCAAAACAATATAATCTATCAAATACCATGTAATGACTGTGAGTCAGGTCAAGTATATAGGTCAAACTAGTTGGTCGGGGTCAGTTAGAATGGTCGAACATAGTAATTTAGCTAAATATAGAACAACAGACCTAAATAAGATCAATAATCTAGAAAGACACTGGGCCATTGCTATGTATGCATTAACACACAACCACACAATAGGGTGGGAAAAAGTCATTGTGTTTAAGTCTAATATAATTAGGTGGAGAGAGAGAGAGAGAGAGAGATCGATTACTGAATCTTTGTTCATCGAATCAACACCGAACCAACACATGTAATAGAAATGACGCAACACCTATACCAGAGATATGGAAAATTTTGCTACCAGTGAAAACAACTCATATACAGTGACGTAACTATAAGAATCAAATGTCGAAAGCAGTGTGATTACATTGATATGATTATGAGCAGTAATAATTTATGCTCGAAACGTCATCAAGTAAATAATACTAGATCACTGTGTGTTATAAATCAAATAAACAAATCTGATATAGAATTAATTTCTACCACAGTGCCCAAGTTTTACACCTATTTTGAGAAAGTTGATTATTAAACAAAAGAAACAAAAGGTTATCTGAATCGCAGATATTCTTGTGGCTGATCCTACTATATTATCAAGTTGCTGACAGACGATTCCAAGCAATTTCATCATTCCATAATGAACACACCGTTTCCAGTTACTAAATCATTTTCTCAATTGTAGTTAACTTTTTAAATGTTCAACAGGACTGGTTTGTCTGCATGCGACAGGGATGCATTGAAGTATGATGGTGTCATTGTATTGTGAAAACAAATCTCTCCAATGTAAAGAAGGAAATCTATCAAACTGATCACCATTAACTGATTTTGTACGATAATGAATTTTTTTGAGAATAGGATTTTGTAATCATTTCATAATTCAGATACCTAGAAAGCAAGTCTGAAAATTGATGGATGAAACAATCAAAAGGAGACTGTACAGCTAGGGTTTTCAAATTTTTTAGCATGATAAAAATCACAGAATTTGAAACCTGCAAATAAACTGTTTTTTTTTTGATTGACTCAACTGTTTATGGAGTACTGAAAAACGCAGCTGCCTCAGAATAACTAAGTTACATTGATAGCGAATGCATTTTAAATACTTAGATCTGTTAATTGGAGTGTAACTTCTGCTTCAATAGATTACTAGTCAAGGTCAAAGGAGTATTCACCGCTGATGAGTAAGCAACAAGATAGAATCGCTTTGTAGTAGAAGATTAGAAGCGAACGGTGCGACTGATTCTACTTATATAAACATCCTGCCGATAAAATTCTCTTTGTTATCAGTAGAGAGACATTTTCTTGATTTAAGTGTACATTTCAAATAAGCCTTTGAATCTGCTTAGATTAGTACTTCTGTTTATTTGAAATCCCTGAAAAACTACATCATACATTGATTTTATGAGAACAATTTTTTTTATTTTCTCTAGTAACTAGTGTTATAAAAGCAACTTACTTCGATCTATGATTTCCAAGAAAATTATTAGCAATATTGAAAAGGTAAGCAAATCACTATGATATATCATCAGGAAACTTAGTCATGAAAACGAAATCATCTAAGGGAAAATATTATTTTCATCTACAATTTTCCTACTCTCCCTCCTGTTTCACTTTGTTTTCATTTAGTATTTTACTTTCAGGTATCAAGAAGACGACATTCGAATGACAGTTACATAAAAAGCACTGAAACATATTCAGATAAATTGGTAATAGGGTGGGCGGAGGCTGGTTGAAATTATAGATGGAGTTCATCAGAAAGCAGACACACTAGAGGATAAATGAAGACCACAGAGTGAAACACAACTTTATCATGTTGATTTGTGGTTGCTTACCACTGAGGATTCTACGAGAGGGCATATATTCTTGAACTCTAAACTTTTAGCTATCGTGATGGTCATGATGCCATTCAACTACTGGATAAGACTTCATTCACATTTCATTGATTTAGTATGACCATGATATGCTGTGCTCACTAATGTCTGGCGTTTATGAATGTCAGCTTTGGCTTCGCATAGAATAAATGAGTAACCATAAAACTTGTAGGCAAACAAATTACTAACCAATATACTTGTTATGCCCTTTGTAATGACTGAAGTCCATACAACAAAATCGATATGCAACCAACAACCTAGGTGATGCATCACCCTGCTTCTCTGTGTTTTGTGTTAATGCCAGGAACGAGTCTTCAGAAGGCCGAAAACCTAATTGGTCGGTGGTGTTCATCATTAGGATTATTTATCTTCAAGATTCTAGGGAAACCATATTTACCTAGTGATGAATGCATAAACTTTTCTATTAAGGTATCCAATTCATAAAATAAAATATATATCTTATTCATTTTGCAGACAAGTAAGTTGTGGGTGAACGCAAGTTGGTCCCTAAATGATAAACCATATTTTACTATAATCCTAAAAGCTAAGCGATTTTTAACAATTTTTTTCGAGACTTGCCAGTAAGTTTACTGATTCATTTGACTTTACTTTTATTCAACTGGGATTACTTCTGAAGCTAAGTTTTAAGTGTTGTATCTTACACCGAACCAATCATTGCTGTTGCTCAAATTATTTCAGGATATTTGGAACAAACATTGTTTAGATATTAACACTACCAAAGTAGTTCAGCACTGTGACCATATGAGTTCGAACCCTAGAGATAAGTTCAAAAAAATCCTGAATCTTAACCTCGGAACGTCATACTATTGACCTACTCCAAAGTGCAAGCGATAACTTAACACTTTTGTGCATCTACAACCCCACAATAGATCTAGCCCATGATCGTCAGGTTTCATGATGAGGTCATTACAGTCACTGGGTTTGAATCCAGTGGTGTATCAACTCCTAATTCTATCAACTTGTGATATAGGACGGAATAGTCCTCAGTTATCTAAACGTTCTCCAGCTGATGACAATCCGTGATGTAAACTATTTGGAAACCAACGAATGCCTACAAATTTGTGGTTGAAATTTTAATGGTATCGTTGCGCAACACAGTTAGTGTGCTCTGAAATATGACTATGATTATGCTGGTATTACGTAGTGAGCTTTGAGTACCATCGGGATTACTTTTATATTGTGCTCATATTCTGATAAAACTGTCGACACAGCTCACTACACTACCATAAACTCTATGTGAATTCAGGAATATTTGTCTCCAGACCATGAAGTGATGGTGGTGTAACATCATCTACTGAAATCAGTTTCTAATTATTGAATTACACTAATATAAATCAATAACTTTTGTATAACTAGATTTTGGACAGTATCGATTATACATTTAGAATGTATTCTTTCTCAGTCTAGGTACTAACTTAGTAAGTGAGTAGAGCTAAAGCTATTTTAATGTAGTATGCTGCTTAGCGTATTTCGTAGATAGCATATTATGTTTATACGGAATTGTTTTTGTTTTCCACCTTTATTATTTGGTTTGTTTCTATCTAACATTACGGGAAGAAAATATTTCAAAATATTGAAATACAGTTAATTCTTATTATGCTTCAAGGCCAGCTGACACCCACGTAAATAACAAATCTAATTTAAGCTACAATTGTTAATATGTGTGTTATCCAATCGGTAATTAGAACTTGGATTTTGATCTGACATTGGATAAAAATTCAAGGTCAGTCCACTGCCTTGATCTTAGACTTAACTCTGAATGAATTTTCCCCTGCACGATCATTTTCAATGGATCTGTACTCCAGTCTACATTTTGTTACTGATTCCCTAATTGTTTATATGTACTTTTAACGAAGATTATTGATCTATAAGTATGAAGGTCTAACATACGAGTTGATAATAGGAATAATCTCAAAAGAATATCCCAAATTGTCATTTTCCTGAAAAGAATACATGAATAGAATTGATGATTAATATAAACTTACTGTGACTATTTTCACATTTAATTCACAATGATAGGATTATTCGAAATATTATGAAACAACATTCAAATATTATTTCAACTAATCAATAAATACATGAGAATGAATGCGCGTTCAAGTATAAGACGTAGTTCTGTACTATTAAAACTGGACAGTGGATCTAAGGTAAGCTAGTTTTGTGGCTGTAGGAAGTTGATAATTGAAATTTGGTGACTGAAGTGAAATTAAAATCTGATCATTGACTGGATATCGTACCTCATTCAGTATGATGTTGGGCTGGCAGCTCGGAGGCCATGATTCGAATCCTGCTATCACTCATATTTTCATTTCACCTTCAATCTCCACCCAATATCAAGAATGTAAGTCTGTCAAACTATGGCTATGTAAGATAGCTACTTTGATAATTAGGTTAGCTATGAGAATACAAGAGATAGTTGTGTTCTATTAGACTGATGTTATTGGTACTGGGTGATTAATGAACGTGAAGTGAAAACCTGGGCTGTGGCTGGAATCGAACCAGGTTGTTAGATCTACACTGTAGCAGTCATATATTTCAAATATTATACCGCATGAAAGTTTTCACATTAGGACTGTATGTGAATGAAAATCATTTTTGGCATTATCATTTAAATCCTATGGTTATACTAGAAACTAACCATAGGATAGACATGAAAACAGCCTTTAAAGTACTACATAAAGTGGTCAGAGCCGAGTGCTTAAATTTATTGAAGCTCTTGCCATCCGTAAATTATCATTTTAAATGTAAATATCTTATCCGAAAAACAGTATTAATTTCGGTGTGTTAGAGTTATGTTGAAATTACTGTGTCTAACGGGTGACAGATGTAAACAGTTTGCAGATATCCTACTGGCTCATTCTCATCTACAGACTAAGAAATGTTTGTATTCTGTAGCAACAGTTTAAAGTTAAACCGGAGGTTTAAGATTGTAGGTTCTGACAAAGTAGAGATCACTTCTGAGTCATTTTTATGGTGTAAAACTTGGTAGATCTATATCTTACATATACTGTTCTCTTACCTTATACATGGAGGAATGAAGGTTCATAATTCCCAGTATGCGACAATGAAATAATTGATATGAACGTCCTTGTACCTGCCTAGTTTTAGAATGATTTTCATCCACGCAATACTCAGTAACTAGTCCAAGTACACAAAACTGCACATGGTTGGTGTGTAATGTTGTAACTGTATTTGATATTTATTGGTTTGTTTATTGATTGTTTTTGACAATATATGTTTATAGAAAACAGAATATTAGTAATTTAATAATACGGAACAATGGAATGCAGCAAAATTTATTTTGTCCTTATCTTGTAACATTTTATTATAGTGAACTGTACGTCATATAAAGATTCACACGTACCAGTGATTAAATTGACAGTTATTCTCAAAACTGAAGCATAGCATCCAATAGGAATTTAGATCATTCATATAGACGTAAACAATCAACATATAACCTTGCTTAGAAGTGCATCAGTTCAGGTTACCACGCTTAAAAGTAGAATAAAAGAATAAGTGGATTGAAATAGACTGATATCAAATTACACAAAGGTGTATGGGAGGAAAATAAATTTCAGATCTTTCCGAAAAGTTAAAGAAACTCAAGAAGATCTTGATAGCTGTTTCGTCTTACAGATTGCCAGTTCCAAATAACAACTAATCATTCATGTTTACTTTGTCCCCCTTTCACTATGAAGACTTTCGAATTCCATTGAGAGTATTCTCTGTCGGATGCTGATACATCAAAATTCGGTTGTCCACAAATAGCAATGTATACATGAAAAAACATAATTGTCCTCCTTTTTTTCAGAGCAGCAAATAATTGTTGTATTTTAATTGATTTATTAGATTTATTACACAAAGTGACAGCATCGTGCACTGAATTACGTTTCCGACATAATTCACTCTACATAGTCATATCAACATAACTACACAACTTTGAGACATTCTCTGTATTGTCCTAATTTACACCTTTTGTGATATGCTCAATAAGGTCCTCCATATATCCGGAACAGGTGTTGACTCATTCCTGTTACATGTATGAGGTGTTGATTCGACTGAAACAAAGATTCAGTTATCAATCTCTCCCTCCAACCTACTATGTTAGTTTTAGTCATTTGCATGCATCACCATGGCTTAGCTTTTCTCTAAATTCCCTACATCACTAGGATCTACCAATTTTCATCTAGCTCTAAATCTTTGTGATTGGATAGCCAGACTAATTGATCCTGGTCGACTACTTTCACCTATGTACTTCACCTCGCAATCATTGCAAGGGATTTGATAAAGTAAGTTATTCTACTTAGTTGGATCAGTAAAACGTTTTAACCTATAAGCTAGTTTCTAAGTGAGTTTGTAGGTTTAAATGTCACTCTAATCCCGGACAACTATTCATAAATGTCAGCCAGATGGGGGTACACTGCAGATTTCATGGCAACTCCTGTTTGTTTGTACATTTTATTCTGAAGCCTAAATATTGTGGAAGTTAAGCGTGACTGTACTCTTAGTATAATATCATCTACTGCTAGCTTAGTTCATAATGTGTAAGGTTATGGTCATTATTCAACTCGTTTCTAACTGTTTTCAGAGTTATGCCAAACGGTATGTTAGTACTGAAACTGACTACATCAAAACTAACCATTTTTCTTGGTCATCTAAATGTCTCATCTAATTCATGCTTCAAGTCATAAGTGTTGGTAAGTCTCGATTTGGAACGATTTCTGATTTGAACAGTATCATCCCCAAATACTTAGACAAGTCGGAGTGTTTCTAAGTTCTGCTATGGGTCTAATAGGATAACCTAGCTTATGAATTTTAATAGTACCATAAATCCTACTGGGATAATTCGTTTTTGGCACTAAATTAAACCATTTTAGACTCTTCTAGAAACGGCCTCAATCGCGAGTAAAAACTTACTTGTAAAACAGATCTAAGACAAGAGACTAGATACATTAAAGCCACCTTACTCATCAACAATTACATCTTTACGGATCCAACTAAGTAGAATAACTTACTTTATCAAATCCCTTGCAATGATTGCGAGGTGAAGTAAATAGGTGAAAGTAGTCGACCAGGATCAATTAGTCTGGCTATCCAATCACAAAGATTTAGAGCTAGATGAAAATTGGTAGATCTAGTGAGGCAAGGGATTTAGAGAAAAGCTAAGCCATGGTGATGCATGCAAATGACTAAAACTAACATAGTAGGTTGGAGGGAGAGATTGATAACTGAATCTTTGTTTCAGTCGAATCAACACCTCATACATGTAACAGGAATGAGTCAACACCTGTTCCGGATATATGGAGGACCTTATTGAGCATATCACAAAAGGTGTAAATTAGGACAATACAGAGGAATGTCTCAAAGTTGTGTAGTTATGTTGATATGACTATGTAGAGTGAATTATGTCGGAAACGTAATTCAGTGCACGATGCTGTCACTTTGTGTGATAAATCTAATAAATCAACGAAATGGTGTGGCATTCAAGTATGGTGCATAAGTTATACTCTTATGGTAAATAGTTGTTTTGCGCAGATCAGTTATGTATGTAGTCTAGATTTACTGTGCAATTGTTTTATTTCATTGAATATGATGTATTTCTATTGTTTTGCCTTCTTTGTTCTATGACGAAGTGCTTGTTTCATATGGTATGTAACTGAGTTACTTCGATTTTGTTTATGTACTCAGTTTCGAGTTCCATTTAATATGAGATGGTTTATGTTGCCACGTTGTTGCCTTCGTTGAAGAAATTCTAGTGAGGTTTGATCTGGGACTCATTTTCCCCACGTTCTCCCAAAGGCGAGCTAATCCTCTAAGATGTAATCAAAATATTTTGTTTGTACAATGCTTTGAAAATAGATAATTCAAAGGATACAAATTTCAGAAATAGTCATTAAAAATTTCTTCTTCCACGTTGTTTTATATTCAACATGGTTTACCTAGTGTGATATTTTTCGTGTGTGTGTGTGTATGTGTGGCAACAGAGAAAGTCTTTTCGAAACCTAAGCATTAAAGAAAAGATAGTGAAGTATAATGTGGTCATGCGATGCTACATTCATTGAGCTGTTTATAGCACAACGTAAAACCAATAATTCATTTGTTATCATACGGTTTACGGCATCATAAACGCAGATCAGAAGGCTCATTGATTTCATTTCACCAAACTATTTTTGTACGGCATTCCAAATCGCGGAGAGGATACCATTGACACTATGGATAAAAGCGCCTGTTAACTCACTACCTGGCAACTAGTTTGTTAGCAGTATATTTGTTTCAGTAACAAGTGAACTGAGAACTTTTGTGTCTTAACACTTCAATAAACATCATTCCATCAACTTGTATTGCATAAAGTACATTGTTTGTATAACAGTTATAGGTTTTTGAAGAGTGGCTGCCTTGATAGACCACGAAGGATTTAAATTAAATTTCACATTTTATGACTGGTAAATGTCCTTCCAGTTAATCGTAGATTCCTCATTATACTGATTTGCTTTGTTTGATCCAAATAATTTTATTGATCAATTTCAATGCTGGCATTTCAGGATATGCATAGTAATATCATATAAGATGCACGTGATATTTAGCCTGCTGGGATAAAAAAAACATCGATGGGAATAATAACCACTTTCTTTCTAATGATGGTTATACATAAATAAATGCTTGATTTTGGAAATTTTTGCTTGATAAGGTTTCAAATGTTGATTCACTCCTTCCTTACAGAAATATTCTCCTCAAATTTTGTTCTTCGTATATAACCTTAAGCCACTCACTTGTGGGTTCCAGCTTGAAACTTTTCATTAAAGTTTGGTCAAAGAGAGGATATTATCTGAGCCTACTAATAAGATGAGCATTACAGCTTGATACAGTTAGTTGTACTTCGTTACTGAGTTGTATTATTTAGGGGTTAATTTTACACAGTCAGGCTGTCTGGTCGCAAGTGCTGATCGGAGTCTATCAATTAAAATGTAAAAGAAGTTGATCATAGTCTGAATACTGGTCAAAATGTCTCTGAATGATAGGCTAATGTATCTTATCATAAGTGTAAAAATTTTGGTACTGTGATAGAATGTAAATCCATATGAGATTTGTTTATCTGATATTCAGTACACAGAGTGATATAGTATTATTTGCGTAATGACGTTTCGAA